GGAGGTCGAGAAATTGACCTGACCTTAGGTCATCGATATCCAAATTCCGAGATAAACAAATTGTAGCTACTAATGACCTAATAACATCTTGCGATTTTCAAAGGCCTCCGACATCTACTGTAGCTCTGGCACGGTGACAAAGTTACAAAAAAGTGGCTTGATGTTGGGTCATTCAAAGTGACCTGGTGACCTGACCTTAAAGTTAGGAGGTTCAAACTTGCACACCATGTGTAAAATTGATGAGAGAATAGTCGTACCAAATTTCGCGGCGCTTTCCCGCTATTCGCGAAAAACCTCAGGGGGGGGGGGGCGGATATCCGCCCCCCGTCGGTGCGCGTGTTAAGACTTTCAATAGGTCAATGACAGTTGTGGAGAAGATAGGGACCCGCTGTAGTTTCTAGAATTGAGATTGTATGACCTACCATGATCTCAAGAAACAACTAACAAGCCAACGGTTATTTGTGTGCAATATATGAAATGTGTTATGGCAGATAAAAACATGATCGGCACGAGGGTACAATTTTGTCGTGGTCCGACGCTTTTTACATAATAATACCCTAAATACCCAAAGTGTCACGCATAGGTGGCGGAACGGGGGGGGGGGGGGGGGGGGGGCACCGGGGCACCGTGCCCCCTTTGATTTTGGTATTTGACATTGGCGTTGCAACTTGCAATTCCCTATTGGCGCTGCATGGAAAGATGCGACCAAAAGTCGGCAGTGCACCCTCCCTTCATTAAAGGTGTTCCGCTGCCACTAGTGTCACGGAAAGGTATGACATTTCAGTAAACTTGGTTGTGTATGCAATGCGGTCTGGTAAGTGGTAGGTGGGGGTAATGGCCCTGCCTGGCGCCCGAAAAGGGGGCACGACCCCGGAGGACCTGCCGACCACTGCGACTCACTGTAGGTAATCATTGTACTAGCACTATATAGATTTGAGAATTTCATGAACGCGCGTACGCTTCATAGGTGTACGTGAGTGGTAAGTCCTTAAATAAAATTAATTATTGTAATATTTAGTAGAAAAACAGCAAAGTATCGGGCCACTCATTCGAAAGGTGGAAAACCTACTATAAAGAACTACTAAAATTCCTGTTCCTGAGGTATCAAAGGACCAAACAGGTGTATATTAGGTACCCGCTATTCCGTCGTGAAAACGGCTACAATGAACCTAATTTGCCAAATCTACACCAAATATGTGCCAGATTCCCGTCTTGAAAGCAGCTTCAATAAAGTAAAAATATTAGCAATCTTTGTGACGGAGTTTTGAAGAAAAAAAACATATGTTTGTCTCGATACAATCAATGCATTCAGCTACAGAGCGACAATGGCAAACATCTCTGCAAATTTGGCTCTGTATTGTCGACTAAAACGCATCGACTAAAAAATCGACTAAAAATCGACTAAAAAAGTTGCATCGACTAAAACGTCATTTCTTCTTTTCAGTACTGTATAGTCTGGTAGGGCATAAGTGTGGTCATCTTCCAAGAATGTTTGGTCATCTTGCATCCTTGCATGGTCAATGAAGTACGCCGTTTTTCTTGGCACTGCACATTTCAATAATCGAACGCTGGGACCATACGTTCTTATCACGGCAGGGTCGAAATGAGAGGAGCATACCCTGTCACAATCCGTTGGAAGCCACTGCAGGTTTTCCGAGCACTTCCGTCCATTGCCTGCTCAAGACTTAGAAATTTGTGGAAGCTGTTCGGCGACTGTTCAACGCATCCTTCAACACAACACTTATTAACCCACCACTGAAGAACTAATAATACGGTGTAAAAAAGTTGACAAAAAATCGACATTAAAATAGGACGCCATTTAATTGCGTCCCAGAAAAGCTATTTCTGGCACCTAAAAGCTGACTCGCCCCAAAATTGGTCCTCAGCACCTATTTGGTGGATACCAGCACCAATCATGGAAAATGACCTTAATTAGCTGTTTCTGGCACCTATTCATCGGTACGCCTTACTCTTTTTTTCTGAATCTGGCACCTAAATGCTGAGCGTAGCACCAATCTAGTAGAAAAATGAACTACTGGCTGGTAGAATCATGTTGTTCTGGTATAATAACCCCTGGAGTCTAGCCTAAAGGTTGCCAGTGCAGCTACACTCTAAGACAGCCCCGTAGTGATCTCAGCATTGTATATGACGTTTAAGTAAGCAAATAATATTGATTTGTTTGAAAAAACAATGTCATTTAAATATTTAAAAGTATTTATTTGTAATGCTTAAAGGGAAACATTTTCGTGAGTAATTGTCTCGATTTTGACCATTAAAACGGGTATTGCATTTTTTGACGTCATCAAATAGCTCCAAAAAAGAAATGTAATGTTTTCATTCCGTTCAAGGCCGCTGAAGAAACGCGGGATCTTGCGTGGGACATTGTCCGTTGTTTGCCGCGCAGAGTTGTGCCGTGGTTGTCCCTTTTTCATCCGTTTCTTACTTATGTTATATGTGTGCATGAAGCTTTGATTTTGTTTTTGGTTATTGTGTGGCCGGTCAGTCAAACGCCCCTGTAGAAACCGGATGCTGCGTTTGATCGAGATGGAGTCAGATGATTGCAGAAAGCATAGGCGCAGGAGCCGGGGGGGGGGGGGGGGGGCAGTGGGGGCAGCTTGCCCCCCCATTTCTGGGGCCGTGGGGGCGGTGCCCCCACAGCTTTGAGACGGAATACCACACTTTTTTTGCAAATGTTTTCTTTTTTGTTGAAAAAGCCGAGGGGTGAAAAATAAGTGGCCTAAAACCGGTGAGAAAACTAGATTTGGGGGTACCCTAGGTTAATCTCTATTATGGTGTGCCCCCCCCCCCCCAGTCGGAAAGTAGTTCCCGCGCCCCTGGCAAAAAGCTAATAATATTGAAAAGAGGGCCGGTTGCGTGGCATGTCTGTTCAGAGTTGACATTTTGCTTTACTCCAGTTTATGACCTGAGAGCCTGGCTGGAAGTGACGGATCCAAACTTTTCACGTTAAAATGGCTGAGGGTGCAGTAATCTCTAGTCTCTACATAGCGGGCTGGTATAGGAGCGTCTTGCTATGCTGCACCATAGCTGGCTAGTGATTCTCTTTTGTCTAGAAATGGCATTAATCATTATCTCCACTGGCGAAAATGGCACTTGACATCACCGAATGCAACGTTCATGTTGTTAGGATACATAAAATCAGGAAGATTACGCGAATTAGGTAGGCAAACGTGGAATAAAATAGGTGCTGGATGTTTTGGTTTTGGTGCTGAATCAGCAAACAGCAAATACGGAGTTCAACTAGACGATCTGGCAACTTAAGGCTGTGTGGAAGCAATTAGGTGCCAGATTCAGATATTAGGGTCGAATAAGCATTTTGGGGCTGATCAGCAATTAGATGCCAGAAACAGCTTTTTAGGGACCAGAAACAAATATTCCCCATTAAAATATTCATGATGACCTCACCGCACAACCAATGATATCTCTTAATACACCCCAGTACCGGGAGCCGAATTTATAAATCAAATAACTAACTTTGGAAAATACAGCGATACTTCAATGCTATCCCAACGTCAACTTCCATTCCAATATATATCCCATGGGATGTTTCCAACGTGTCCGAGAACATAAGAAATTATTGCAACAAAAAAACGTTTAAAGTGGACTAATGTGATCCTTTATTTCTACACTTCATATAATGAAGAAATACGTATAATAATCATTCATTTTCTTTTTAGAAGAGGGTACAGACACAAATCACGATATTCAAAGAGCGTAATTTCTTGCTTAGAAAACGCCCAAGAAACGTTAGCTTTTTTAGTACCTGGGCATCTCTATATTATAAGATCTCTATGACTGAAACGGCCGGCGACCCAAGATTCTTTCACGGCGACCGCGGTCTCACTGCCGGCGGGTCAGCAATGGAACCGGCTGAGCGCCAGGCTGAGCTGCCGATAAAGGCTGGGAGAAGAACTGATACTGCTATATTATTTTAGGAAACTTATTAGCCCGCTATGGTTGGTTGGATAGGCATTTACTTTTGACAAGAAAACTTGATGCTAGGTCATTTGTGGAAAACTTGATGCGCTGTGACTTGCTAGAAAGGATGCTTAAAATGTGTGTCCAAAATACTTATTTTTGTTGTAAAGGGGATTGTAAAAAAGCCTTTAGTGAGACTGTTGCGTACTGCGCTATTGATTTAGTGGCCGATTTCACTGGTCGGGTTTTACACGTCAGCGGAGTCGATGCCGGGAGGTTTGCTCGTGTGCGTGGCCATTCGTGTCTGGGCTGGCGACTGGGTGGAGTTCGTGGCGGTGTTACAATATATGAAGACTACGAGGCACAGTTGAGTGTTCTGCGGACAAAGACGGAACAGAGACTATAATAAAAGGTAAGCGAAGCTTAGCAAGCTTATTAGGTATACAAACTAGATAAAGGTGGCATGAAGGTGGACATCGTTAGGAGATACCTATTGCTACGTCAATGGGTGACTTAATTATAGTTACTATACATTAGCCGAGCTTCTGTTCCATTACCGTCGTGCAGATAAATTACGTCCTGATGAGCTGCAGTCAGTGGGTCGAAATTAATGCACGAGGCGGTCCTGACCAGCGACGGGACATTTCTATTTTCCTGCCATTTAGCCGGCAGAGTTATGTGCCGTCATCTCCCGTTGCTTGACCAAATGGTGGGTATTACCGGTGCTGACATTCCTACACTTTCTAAATTTAATTCTACAGAGAAGTTCGTTGCGCTATGTCAGAAAGTAAAATCTGCCCGTTCTTGGATGACATGTGTAAAAATAACTTTTTTTCCAAAATGATTTTACTCCTCCAAGTGTGAGCATCAACTTAATCAGTTCTATACCTAATGTCAGAGGAAATTAGGAAAAAATATAGAGAGTTTAGCATAAACAAAGGCACCGGAAGCGCATGATAGAGCATGGTATGAAGGTACCGCACCGAACTTTCTTCAGATTTCAAAGACGCTTAACCAGAGACAGTCCAGAATCAACCGTGGACACTCTCAGACCTTTCACTCACCTGCTGCATCAGTTTGACCTCTCCCACGCCGCAGGGCAGGGCGCAGACCGACAGCGGTACGCTGACCTCGGCCGGGGTCAGATCGGTCACCCAGAGGTCACCGTCTGGGTCAGTAGGGGTCAGCGGGGTCAGGTCTCGGCCGTCGGACGGTGACTGGGACGGTCTCGGTGGTGGCCGGTCGGGGTCTGTGCCTCCGTTCCACTGCACTTCGCCGCGACTCATGTTGAGCTCACCCTGCCCCCACTGACCGATCACCTGTGGAAAGACAACGCTCCGTGTCATTATAGTAATTGTTGTGCAGTTGTTTGTGGTTCCGATTGTCGGCTGCACAATGCTATGCCTATGCGTCATTAAGCGGGCTCATATTTCTTATGTGCCTTAATACGATCAATGCCGTCAGTTATGCTCGTGTCATCACAAAGTCAGCGATACCTATCTTCTGGGGCTGACTATGCTGTTTAATGCCAATTAATTTATGCTCACTTTGTACTGGTGCTGACCGTTGGCCACACGCTGGAAGTTGAAAATGGTGTACCGCGCCAGACCATCACCTCGTGCGTCAAATTGAACCTTGCTACCAGCAATATCTGCAAACAAGACGGAACGGCATCGATCTAGTGTTTCACAGTGATCAGTAATGTTCTCGCTTTACAAAGAGGCTGTTGAAAGGACCCATATTGATGAAACTGTAGTCAACCAAAACAATCAAAGTCGAATGTCGGCATGCCATGATCCGGCCAAACAAACAAAACACAAGATGTCCAGCAGCATGTCATTCATCGAACCAATTAAATAGGAACATGTGCTTATTTGAAGGAGTGATTAATTATCCATATTGCTCATCCTGTTCGGGTATACGTATATGAGATAGGTCACTGATAAAAAACCACTTCGCGGACAGGGTTGGTTTGTTGACCTTGATGAAACTCATGTCAGAGCTTTTGACGGTCGGAGCACAGTGATGTCGTCATATTACCAGTGAAGTAGCAAAGGCCAAGCATCACTATTTGTAAGACAAACAGCGTCTATTTATTGATTTGTTAGCCGGCGGTTCGGTCGATAAACAAACTTCCACTCAGATTAAAATGGTATGTCATCATCGAAAGGGCTATTGTGACTGTCGATAGGTCGCGCTGTGTCATCCCAGCAGTTCGCTTTCTGTGAGAAACGACTGCCAAGTTCATAGCATACGTAACACTAAGCACAGTGTAACGTTGTGCCTGCCGAACAGCTCGTGTTCCGCATGGAGAGCCCCTATGTCCTGAACACTGAGCACTGAACAGTCTCTTCAGCATTTGTATGTCTCTACCGTTTACTATTTAAGCATACGATCAATGGTTCGTGAGTTCAAAGCCAAACCTACCGAGCTTCAACTATGCAGAAAGGTCACGTTGCAAAAACGTTGAAATATCCCACAGAATCTCTAGGCAAAGTTCACTGAGCGTTGATGAAGAGAAATTGCTAGCTGGTGTCAGCCGTTCATGTGTCTTCATTCTCATTCTAAGCCACTAAAAGTTGAAGTTGAATGTGTATTTGTAAATTTGCCTGATGGTTGCTTTGCGTTTAACAATGAAACCATTTTCCTATATCTGTTTCCCATGTCCTGTCTGTTTATGTCTGTCCTATGTGCAACGCATCGTAGCATCAGTGTTGATTTCTTCGTGTCACAAGGAAAGGAAACCGACCGGTGGGTGAATTTCCGGGTAACTCTTTTTTCCCTTGCAGAAAAGGTCACCAATAGGTACAGGGATCCTCCATAGATTCATGTGGCGCTCAGAAACAGACGTTTCACTGATAAATGTTTTCTCCGAAGTCATCTATTAATTGAATCCGATGTCAGTTAGCCATTTTCACGCCTAATAAACAATGAACAGATTGAAAGCCTAACTGATTTATATAATCTTTCCAATTAATGCCGGATATTTTTCGATGTTATAAACTATTCTCCATAAGATGCAAATGATGTTTGTGATTGCAACTTGATAAAGGCTGACACATTTCTCAGAAACTGAACTCATGTAACGTGAAAATTAAAGCGTGAGCAATCTTTTACCAAACTTTACAACAGGCATATTTTACAACATATAAAACCTTGAGGAAACCATGCTTATGAATCACAAACAATATTGGTCCTCACCTGTGAATGAGACGTTTAGTAGATACTTCTTGTAGAAATCGCCTCCGTCGTACCTCCTCATATTCGCGCAAACATAGCGATTGCTTCCGCAGACATCGAGCTGAAGGACCTCGAGGGCATGCGCGAACGCGTAGACGGCGTCAATGACAAACTGCACCTTGGACTCCTGGACGAAGCCGGTCTCTGGACGCAGCCGCAGCGCCGGGTCGCAGGCGGTGTCCTCGGCCGCGTCCGGCGCCAGCGAGCAGCCGAAGAACGCCTGCCAGTAGTCGCGGAACCACGGGTTGCGCCGGTTCGTGTCGGGCGTCAGCTCGGCCATGTAGCGGTCGAAGGCGGCCACCCGGCGCGACGTCAGCTCCACGGTGATGGCGCCCTCGGCCACCTCCTCGACGCCCTGCACCAGGCTCTCCTGCTTGCCCCAGCCGTCGCTGGCGATCCAGTGGAACGGCTCGCGCAGCCGCAGGCGCTTCGCCGCCTCCAGCACGCCCCTGTGGTCAACGGAGGGGAATAAAATAATACAACCAAAACAGACACAGGCTGATGTGAAATATCCAACACTACATCATGATATCACATAGCAGCAAGCATCACACAAAAATTCAAATGGCACAGTTTGTCCAGCCTCAATTCCCTTTTCATCCAACGGCGCTCCATCTTTACTGCACAGAGATATAAAAACAAATCACAGTTTGATTGAATTCGCAGTGGTTGGTGGTTTTGTTGAGCATGAATCAATGTTATGTAAGTAACTGCGTACCACATGCATTCAAATTGCTTATATTTGCTAAGGATATGCAGGTATAAGCAAATTGGGAAAGTATGCATACTGATTTGGTGCAGTATGGTTTGTTTTTGTGAACGGATCGAGGAAACACAATCGGACCATTCGATTTGCTTTTCATTACAATGTTTCTTTTTGGGAAATGTCATAAGGCTATTTTTGAAAGCGTCAAGTTCAGAAGCATCTAGTTGTAGACGTATAACGCCTGTGCCCAACATGCCGTTCTGCCCTGCCCTCCGCCGACCCGGCCAGAGTTTCCCATGGTCAGCATCCAATTTTGCTGACGAGAGCAGCCAGCCATGTGGCGGGGCGGGGGATCGGGATCGAAATGGAATTAAACAGCTCCGCCATGTCCAATTTATTACACGACCGCTGGAAAGCCGGCGTTTAGCCCATCACAGAATGCAAAGCGAGGCCGATCGGCCGCCGCCGCGGTGCTCCCAAATGGTCTAATAGCCGGCCGGGTTTTCGGCGAGATCCCATTTCGAAGCGACCGTGCCGCATATGGCCTAAATGGGAGTCATCTCTCGGGCGTGGAGGCCACAGCGTCATTACGCGAACGTCATCGGCATCGACGCCAATGAGACGGTTTGCGACGGTTTATGTAAAGCGTAAGCGACAGGGGAGCAAAACATCGCAAATGGGTTATTCAGCACCGGTGCGAGGGCGCGACTTTCTCACCGTTGTATTTTGAACCAGCCGCAGAGGGTGACACTCTCACTCGGTGTAAGTGCACACTCTCATCCGGTGCAGTTTGCACTGCGCCAACATGACAAGTGGCTGTTGTTTGGAAAGACGCCTAGCGATGACAGAAGTGTTTGTGGTGTGATATTCGACCTTAATGCGCTGCTCCTGGCCAGCAGTGTGTTTTCAGAAGGCAGGGAGCAAAAGAGAGAGAGAGAGAGAGAGAGAGAGAGAGAGAGAGAGAGAGAGAGAGAGAGAGAGAGAGAGAGAGAGAGAGAGAGAGAGAGAGAGAGAGAGAGAGAGAGAGAGAGAGAGAGAGAGAGAGAGAGAGAGAGAGAGAGAGAGAGAGAGAGAGAGAGAGAGAGAGAGAGGAGAGGGAGAGGGAGAGGGAGAGGGAGAGGGAGAGGGAGAGGGAGAGGGAGAGGGAGAGGGAGAGGGAGAGGGAGAGGGAGAGGGAGAGGGAGAGGGAGAGGGAGAGGGAGAGGGAGAGGGAGAGGGAGAGGGAGAGGGAGAGGGAGAGGGAGAGGGAGAGGGAGAGGGAGAGGGAGAGAGAGAGGGAGAGAGAGAGGGAGAGAGAGAGAGAGAGAGAGAGAGAGAGAGAGAGAGAGAGAGAGAGAGAGAGAGAGAGAGAGAGAGAGAGAGAGAGAGAGAGAGAGAGAGAGAGAGAGAGAGAGAGAGAGAGAGAGAGAGAGAGAGAGAGAGAGAGAGAGAGAGAGAGAGAGAGAGAGAGAGAGAGAGAGAGAGAGAGAGAGAGAGAGAGAGAGAGAGAAGAGGAACTATTATATTTTTTACGTGTAGTCATTTAAAATTACCTTTACAGCGATCAACAGGGAAAACAGCGATAAGATGAATACCTAATTGAAGAAAGTTTGCATAATTGAAGCAGAGGGTTATAAAGAAGCTGAAAAAGGATGTAGATCACTTTCCAAAAAAATGCACACCTATTCTGTGATCTGTTTATTTCTATGGGCCGATATTGATAAAAGTTTATAAATGACGAGTCGATTTTTAACCCGCGCCCTGATGGGGGGGGCCATTTTGGCCCCCCCCTGTGGTTTTTCTTAAATAGCGAGAAAACGGCGGCGCGCAGCGCCGCCAAATTTTGGGTACCTTACCGGGCATCAATTTGACACCTTCACACAAAATTTCAAGTCACAGGTCACCTCAGGTCAGGAGTTATTGAGGTCAAACTGAGGTCATGTTCGAGCAAAAATGAGCAAAAAACATGACATCTTGAAACCCTCATCAATTCTACAGTTAACAAGCAATTTTAAAGTTCTTTATGTGGTTGTGTAGAAAAAAGACGGCGCTACAAAACTGCTATCTCGGATTTTCGAAATTTTGGGATTTTGACCCCCAAAAATAAAAAATTGATTTTTTTTGAAAAACTCAAAAAATTTCCAAAACAGTTTCGAATTTCGAAAAAAAACCGGAATATATGTGATAGTCCCTGCGCTCTTCGATATACATACCAAATTTTAGATCGATACCTCTTTTTTGGCCAAGTTATAGCGAAAAAACTGTTAAAAATTGATGACGTCAAATTTTTGAACTCAATTTTTAGCAATTCTAGACCTCGTAGCGCAAAACGGAGACCACCATTGAACTCCCCGTGACGAGCTGCATCGAATCGATACCCATTTTATGCAAAAATATCAACTTTGAAATTTGACCTAATTTGACCTGACCTTGACCTCACCTTGACCTGACCTTGACCAAAACGTGACCTAAGCTGGCCCTAAAGTCTGTCTGACCCACATAATCGCATTTGTCATGTAAAATGAACCATAAAACATGTATCACACGACACTTTCATATTGTGACCCCCCCAGTGACCTGACCTCTGTGACCTGACCTGGTATCAGTGACCTCAAATAGCAAAATATGTGTTTGAAGAACATTTCTCCATCGATGATTTTCAATGAAATGCATTTTACTCGATTTTACAACGCATTTCTTGAAATGCCTGTAAACGGTGAAAATTCAACCTTTGACCTGACCTGTGACGTCATCGGTTTGACCGAGGTCAATGAAATTGGGTCAAAAGGTAGTTCCCCGCTGGGGCTATCTAACACCGTTTACCGCTTGTCGCTATGTTGCGTGGTTCTCGAGATCTGAGGGGGGGGGCCAAAATGCCCCCCCCCCCCATCAGACCGCGTTGCTCGGCAGACCCCATCTGGGCGCGGGTTAAAGAGCACATCGCTTCAACACTTGCTTCAATTGGCCGAACAGTTAGTATGAAACATTCGACGTATTTTGTCAACTATAAGTCGAATGAATCTCTGTTCGGAGATTACTGCTCGTTTTATCGTTTACCTACTCTTCTATGAAGTTTAATTGCTAGGAGAGATATCTATTCACTATTTCATTTAATTGCCACCAACTCATTGACATTCCAATGGAGTGCGGTGGATTCGTACGACAAGAAACAAATTGGTTTTGACCGAGATAATCTCATTAGCCCGATAAATTGAGATTGCACATAATGAGGTTACAGAATTGGCTGGAAATATGCCAATGTCATGGACCTGAATTGGGAAATGATGTAATCAAGGATGTCCGATATCCTATATTTCGAATAGGTTAGGTACTTGGATGTAGCAAACTATATTTTACCAGCGAAACGGAAAATATTACTTTATCTATGTGACCAGAACAATATTCAAGGGTATTATGAAAGCATAACCTCCTCACTAAGTGAGCGAGTCCAAAATTGAACTTAACCCGCGCCCCGTAGGGGGGGGGCCGAAACGGCCCCCCTGTCCTTTTCGGTCGATATCTCCTAAACCGCTTCAGATATCGCCACCAAACTTTCAGGACCCCTCCGGGCATCAATTTTACACATTATGACCAAAAATTTTTCCAGAGGCTATGATAGGTTGGCCACAAATGACGTCAGAATGACGTCATGTTCTGTCATTTTCGACCGAAAAAAGACCTTCGCGAGAAGACCTGTCAGGCCTACAGCTTTGAAGATACAGAAAAATGATCAAGACATAAAAGGTGTAAAATTGACAGGGCTACAAAACTGCTATCTCGGATTTTTGAAATTTTTGAGTTTTGAACCCCAAAAATCAAAATAGCATTTTTTTGGATATATTAGCCAAAAAATCCAAAAAGTTTTTTGAGTTTCAAAAAAACCGGAATATATGTGATAGTACCTACCGTCTTCTATCTACATACCGAATTTCAGATCGATACCTCGTTTTTTGGCCAAGTTATAGCGAAAAAAACTGTTCAAAATTGATGACGTCAAATTTTCAAACTCAATTTTTGGCAGTTCTAGACCTCGTAGAGCAAAACAAAGACCACCATTAGACTCCCCGTGACGAGCTGCATCGAATCGATACCCATTTTATGCAAAAATATCAACTTTGAAATTTGACCTTATTTGACCTGACCTTGACCTGACCTTCACCAAAACGTGACCTAGGCTGGCCCCAAAGGCTGCCTAACCCACATAATCGCATTTGTCATGTAAAATGGACCATAAAACATGTATCACACGACACTTTCATATTGTGACCCCGGTGACCTGACCTCGCTGTGACCTGACCTGGTATCAGTGACCTCAGATAGCAAAGTATGTGTTTGACGAACAATGTACCATCGATGGTTTTCAATAAATTACCAATTAACTCGATTTCACAACACATTTCTTGAAATGCCTGTGAACGGTGAAAATCTGACCTTTGACCTGACCTGTGACGTCATCGGTTTGACCTAGGTCAATGAAATTTGGTCACAAGGTAGTTCCCGGGTGGGGCTATCGAACGCCGTTTGAATTTTGAAAATCGGCCGGTAACTTTCCGAGATCTTAGGGGGGGGCCGAAACGGCCCCCCCCCCTACGGGTGGTAGGGTCCGCCGGTAGCCCTACGGGGCGCGGGTTAACCCTCGCCCGTATAGGGGGGGGGGTCGAACGGACCCCCCCCATGGTTTTTCGCGAATAACTCGCGTAAAAAGCGGCCGATCGCGACGAAACTTTCAGTACCCTCGCATTGATCAATTTTACACCTACCCTGAAAATTTCATGACCCTGACCCAAATGACCTTTGACCTGTGACCTCTTTTCCGAGACCATGTTTAGCCGGAATCGCGATTCGGCGTATGTCGGCTCGCATTAGCCGCGCGTTTGCAAACTTTTCGTGGTTTCAAACGTTCAAACATGTGATTTGATGTTGCTCCCATACATTAGGGTGGGTGTCAAGGTCACCTGAAGGTCAGGTCAGGTCATTGACCTTTGATGACCTCGGTTCACTTTTTCGAGTTTTACATGTTTCTAGGCCAGTTTTTGGAGCTGAATACGAATTTAGCAACCATATGAACATTTACGAAGTAGTTTTGGTGCCTTCGTAACATGTTACGAAGCTGTCAGAGGCGGTTGCCACCTACTACGAATACCCTTACTGGTTGACCTGACCTGACCTGACCCGACCTGGCCTAAATACATGAAGACATCATCTGTGATCAAAACTAACAAGATATTCGTGATCAGCACCCCGAAAAACCCCATAGCAGCCACACTTAACGACATTCTAACAGGTCCCGATTTTCCCGCCTTTGGGGTCATTGACCTGACCTGCAAGGTCAACCAATGACCTAGGACATTAAAATTGGGTATCATCGGCTTCCTCTCGTCACGGGCAACACGCTCGTTTTTTCCGCGAAGCTCTAGCTCGATCAGGGGCGAAACGGCAAGGGGGGGGGGGGGTCCAACGGACCCCCCCCCCCCTTATACGTTCGCGGCTGGAAAAACACCAATACGGGCGAGGGTTAAAGGGACACTCCCACCTTAACATTAGTTTTGAGTTGAGATAGCCAAATTGGTGGCCATGGCCTGCAAATACCGGTTTGGGCACTCACAACATCGACAAATGCTTTAATTCGGAGATATGGAATTTCAAACTTGCAGTTTTCGGATTCTAAGGGGCTAGTGCATTGGTATGCCCCCTTAGAATTTGTGACGTCAGCGGAGATCTAACGATTTTTAAATCTTTTACTAAAACGTTTGGTAGCACGCGGTGGTATATGCTGCTTTGCGCGCAACAAATGCCGCACTTTCAAATAAAGTCGCTAGGAACAGCGGAGATCCCAAAAAGTAAACAAAAGTAAAAGTCTAATATCTTGAAAACCGGTGAATATTTTTCGAAGAAATTTGGTAGATATTCGTTTTCGCTCTTTCTGAACCGAGCGACATCACTTTCGTGCCAATTCATTAACTTTTTTGAAGGTGGGAGGGTCCCTTTAAAGCAGGCTCACAACTTCCACTTTTCAGGCTAAAAATGCCTAAGTGAGACTGAAGAGTCATGTCTTACCCGCGCCCCGTAGGGGGGGGGGGGCGAAACGGCCCCCCCTGTCCTTTTCCGTCGATATCTCCTAAACGGCTGCAGATATCGCCACCAAACTCTTAGGACCCCTCCGGGCATCACTTTTACACATTGTGACCACAAATTTTTTCAGAGGCTATGATAGGTTGGCCACAAATGACGTCAGAATGGCGTCATGTTCTGCCATTTTCGACCGAAAAAAGACCTTCGCGAGAAGAGCTGTCAGGCCTACAGCTTTGAAGATACAGAAAAATGTTCAAGACATAAAAGGTGAAGAATTGACAAGGCTACAAAACTGCGATCTCGGATTTTTGAAATTTTGAGTTTTGACCCCCAAAAATCAAAAATGCAATTTTTTGGATATATTAGCCAAAAAATTCAAAACGTTTTTTGAGTTTCGAAAAACCCGGAACATATGTGATAGTACCTACCGTCTTCTATCCACATACCAAATCTCAGATCGACATCTCGTTTTTTGGCCAAGTTATAGCGAAAAAACTGTTCAAAAATGATGACGTTAAATTTTCAAACTCAATTTTTGGCAATTCTAGACCACGTATGACAAAACAAAGACCACCATTGGACTCCCAGTGACGAGCTGCATCGAATCGATACCCATTTTATGCAAAAATATCAACTTTGAAATTTGACCTAATATGACCTGACCTTGACCTGACCTTCACCAAAACGTGACCTTAGCTGGCCCCAAAGGCTGCCTGACCCACATAATCGCATTTGTCATGTAAAATGGACCATAAAACATGTATCACACGACACTTTCATATTGTGACCCCCCAGTGACCTGACCTCTGTGACCTGACCTGGTATCAGTGACCTCAGATAGCGAAGTATGTGTTTGACGAACAATGTACCATCGATGGTTTTCAATAACTTACCAATTTACTCGATTTCACAACACATCTCTTGAAATGCCTGTGAACGGTGAAAATCCGACCTTTGACCTGACCTGTGACGTCATCGGTTTGATCTAGGTCAATGAAATTTGGTCACAAGGTAGTTCCGGGGTGGGGCTATCGAACGCCGTTTGAATTTTGAAAATCGGCCGGTAAATTCCCGAGATCTTAGGGGGGGCCGAAACGGCCCCCCCCCCCCCCTACGGGTGGTAGGGTCCGCCGGTAGCCCTACGGGGCGCGGGTTAATAGTTAATACCCAGGTAAATGCTTATTTGAAATTGGTTTAGCGGACTTTCACTGGGTAGTGGGTAAAAGTTATTATTGGTCCCGGTACTCCGACTTGTATTGAAAAGTCTTCGATGGGGCACACATAGTGTGTGGTGGGGGGCACACTAAAAATGCCTATAAAGGAGAAACAATTGTATCGCCATGTGGCAGTTTACACACGGTCTTCTATCACAAGATACATGCCGTGTTGTTTCGTTCATTGTTCTCACGTTAACAATGCATGTCATATTCATTATGTACGGTGCACACCCTACATAACCGTGAGTGACATAATATCGCTACACATCATCTGCAAGCTCATAATCGGCATACAACGTTGTGTGAACAAACCCTGCAGTAATTCGATGCGGCTGCAAAAACGCTGTGGATCTCCCGGCTTTGTAAGAAGCCCGGCAGTGCTAACTTACCAGAAGTGCGTAACTTACATCAGCCGGATTCAGCGTTGCCGAAAGCAGGAAAAACATCTGATATAAAGCACAGGCCGAATGGCGTCTTAATTACCTAAATGAGGATAGGAGCTGAGAGGAAGAGCAGAAAGAAACAGAGAGAAAGAGTGTGTTAGAGAAAGAGAGAGAGAGAGAGAGAGAGAGAGAGAGAGAGAGAGAGAGAGAGAGAGAGAGAGAGAGAGAGAGAGAGAGAGAGAGAGAAAGAGGGAGGAAGAGGATAATGAAAGGATGGAGAGAAGAAAGATTTACGTCTACACATATGAGTGGAGATCGGATCTTGACAGTCTTCAGATATGTGCGTCGTGCAACTCGTAAGTATAGAAGAACCGTTTCAAAATTTATTCGTGCTAAAAATTAAATAAACAAGCTCTTTAGCCTCAACTTACCATATTATCATTGTTATTTTCTGATGTAAATGAGTCCTCTGACAACGCAGGCCCACCCACGTAGCATTTGAGGAAGGGTGGTTAAATTGGACTGTTCCACTCTGCTCTCTAAGACTGACTTACACAGGCATGGGCGTGACGACCGTGTCATGGCTCTGGAGCATCGCTGGTTTTGAATATTCATGTCCAAAATTACGTGCATGCACCTCGTTCATCAATGCCTGGCCGAAGGAGCGCAGGGGATGTTTTATTCACTTTTACGTCCGGCGCGTGGCCTTGTCGGTAGAAACTTAAGAGGCGTAGGGTTAAGATGTTTAAAAATGAACCGGCAAGAGACCATTGCGAGCAATTACTAAGCATAGAGTAATTCAGAACTCCACGAAACTGTTGTGCACAAAAGATAAACCGCGGTTGAACACTTCTATGTATGTGAGTAGAGTACGTACTATATATAGTTAGCTTATTGCGATGTGTCACAGATAACAATATTTCTGATTGTCTTTTAAAACAGGGGTTTTGGAAACAAGTCCCTCGCATTTGCGAGCCACATTTCTGAACGGAATTGTTTGCGTTTCAACAAAGAACCCCATCAGAAATATTTTAGCGAGCCTAAAGCGGAAAACAAAGGGCTGCGATGAGGAACCTTGCTATTGGAAATGCCAACGGAGAGATTGAAAATAGCCGTCTATTCTGTGGCATATAGGATGATATGTGAGTTACTTAAGATGAATTTAGCCAGAAATAAGCGTGTTATTGACAGGAGCGAAACTGGGGAAATTTAGCAACATTGAATTGGTGAAAGCTGCGTTGAAGCTCCCCGGATTTAGTAACATATGTAGGGTAAATTGTTTCAAGACAAATGTGATTTAGGTGCTAAGCAAATATGCAAGAGATGCTTTGCACTCATGGTCACAAAATTCACGTAATGAAAGTTAATGTATCTGAAATGAACTGGTGGCTGTACTAGTTCGAAGAATGAGAAGAATTATGATATGCGGGAAAAAGACGTACGGAAATTGAAATCCTGTCGATAAATGATAAACAAACGTCCGATGCATTGAGCTTTTTTGTCGCTGCCCGACGATTTCACATACCTATTTTACGGCGCAAAAAAAAAAATATCTACCACATAAATCGATTACATGGAATAACAAGATAATTCAGCAACTGCTTTTAAATAAAATAGGCAATAACATTATCTTAAGCATAGGCTTATAATATTTGCACCCCACTGGGTGCAGGTAGCACCTCATCTGAGAATCACAGACGAAAACGGGTTCCTGTAACTCACCTTGCATCTTCGGCTCTGACGAATAGGATCACACCCCGCGCCATCGGTTTCTTCTGCAGGCTCATGATGATGTTCTCGAAGGTTTTGGCCGTAGCGTCCCGCGGCACCTTTTCCGCCACCGCTATGCAGATGTTCCTCTCGGCAGCCTGGCGGTGGAACGCGTCCATGCCGCTTTCTCCATAGGAGCCCTCGGATGCGATTGTGCTAACGTAGGACCAGTTGAACAACTGCACCATGTCCACTAGTGCCGTGGCCTGAAAAGTGTCTGGTGGCACTGTCCTCGCGAAAAATTCGAACCGTGATTTATCGCTTAGCGCCTGAGCGGTGGAAGCTGGCGAAATTTGTGGGATACGGAACAGTCTAAACAGGTTGGCGACGTTGATGGAGATGGTACTATAGGAGCCGCCAACCACTCCACTAACCGCCTTTGAGCGATATTTGGGCCGAGGCGTGGACCGGTCGGCGCACTCGAAGGCCACCGTGTCCATGACGTCCAGTGGCGCCTTGATGAAGGCCAGCGACTGGTTGAGCGCGTACGTGTCGGTGCTACACGTGTCCAGGATGTTGACGCCGATGGTGGTGTGCGGCAGCAGGCGGCGGTCGCTGTTGATGCGGTCCACGGCGAACAGCATGGCCTCGAGCCGCTGCAGGCCGCGGTTATACAGTTTGGCGCTGCACGGCGTGCCGTCACCCTTCTCGTGCACGGGGAACAGGCCGCCGAGCACCAGGTCACCGTCCAGCAGTACCGAGTGCTGACCGAGGGCCGGTGGGACCAGCAGCAGCATCAGCAGCAGCAGCGGCAGCGGCGGGCCAGACGACAGCCACGCTCTTCCCAGCACCATGCTGTTGCAGCCGCGCCGACGGCCACCTATGCGCCGTGACGTTTCGCAGGTAAGCTCGTCCACAGGAACTCTGAAAATATAGCATGCCTGATAATAAAATCCGCAATACCCGCTATCTATTTAAATGTATGCAATATGCATGGGCATTTTTACTGTATGTAATGTGTTTTTATAATTGTAATTAATACATACTTTACGGTGCGTTCACTGGAGATTAACCGTGCGTTAATTCGAAGGTAGCCGTGCACCAATTTAAATTGGTGCACGCGCGTGCAGTGATGACCGGCCCCCGCCGAAGTTAGTTGGTAGCACTGCTGCTCCACGGCGTACATTTCCTACCAGCCCATAGGGTTTACATGTTAAATGGCCTGTTTTCGGCGAGCGATATCTCGGTCAACCTTTGAAGGAATCAATGGTTCTTAGTCTCAAATGATAGATCGATGAATTTTCTTTCGACAATTCCTCTACCATTTTTCACGAAACCCAGCCGATCTTTTACGGCGTACAGGGTAAAGATTTTTCTGCACGCCAGCACCCGCGATCCGCCTCTCCGATCGTCGGTTCGCGGTCCTCGGTAGCGCAGTCGGTAGCGTATCGGGCTACAGATCTGAGGGTCGTGAGTTCGAATCCTGGGAGCGCTGCGTGATTTTGGCTAGAATTAAATGATGTAGATTCTTGAATGTTTGTATAATCAATTATTAATAGCTAATTGAATGTATCTGCCCACTAATCGGCCCTTAAAACCTGTTATTTAAGAAATTTAAGAAATGATTGTCACGTGCGCGTCACGACTGCCAACCATAAGCGCTACCATATTCTAGATTGAACTAACTTTTTGCTAGTCCCGACCAAGGCCCTAAATACAAGGTTGCACGGACTAATTTCTACTAAACCTACCAGAATATAGTTTCACGGTTAGATATTTTAATAAATATTCAATCAAAACCTCTTTATTATTTTCTCGTTATCATTTATAAGCAATTTTATAAATTGACTTTCAATTTGCTTGCATTTTACTGGCAAAATAACTTTCTAGTATTGGGTCAACATAGTTGTGTAGCAGAAGGAACCATATCTGGCAAAACCCCAATGCCTACATACAGCAGAAAAGCAGCCACCAGGTGTCGCCACAGTCGCCACTTGGTCGCCACACAGATGTCGCGCGCGTCGCCAATCGCCACGCTACCGATTTCCATAAGGACGCATATGTACGGATATGTATAGGAAAGTCGCCCTTAAGGATTACGCTTACATCCATCGCTTATAAGGTCGGTGGTTGAAAATTGGGAGGGGCTCAGCTATTTTCGACCACGGATATGGCTTTATCACATGACGAGGACCATGCTGGTATACCTTTTATGTGTTATAACCTTACAAAAGTATTTTTTAGCATTTTTCAAAAATAGCCAATCCGCCGTATCCTTCAGTGCAAAGTGCCGTCGGTCAGTCCCGACGTGACGTCACGCAGGGAATTTGCCAGATTTTCCTACTAGACTTCGACACCCCCTGGTCCCGACCACATATAGTAGGTTTTCTAGTAGTTAAACTAGAAATTCCTACCAAAGTTCGTCCTACCCTTCACTCAATATACCCTGGTGATGACTTTCTCGACTGAAGTTTTTCGGAAGGGTCATTGACTTTATTCTAAGATTTCCCATAAAGGGCCCTTTTTAGTGGCATGGATTAGGTTTAATTTTAATTTAAATTCGCACCGTTAAGCATGTATTAATTAGTTTAACACATGGTTTCCGTGCATAAATGGTTTTAACGCACTCGTGGATGGAATGGAGCACTTGTGCGTTAATGCACTCGTTTCACTCGTGCATTAACACACTCGTGCTCCAATCCATCCACGTCGTGCGTTAAAACCATTTACACACGGGAAACCATGTGTTAATATATATTATCCCGCACCGTAGACAGTGTTTACAATTGCTTCACGTGATAAGGGAGACAATTATCAGATGTCGTTTAACTGATTTATTTAACGTCTAGACGTTTAACAAACTGTTAAATGTCTAGTAAACATTTCGATTTTCGTCTAGTCTGAATATGTCGTATTTTCATATAAAATGTTTTTTGTACTTTTAAGCGCCCGAAATATATCGGCGGTGCGGGATAAAATCATTAAACCGCTCGTAGGTAGAAAAATCTTTTAAACGTCTCGCCTATCGGCTCGACGTTTAAAAGATTTGTTCTACCTACTCGCGGTTTAATATATATTCATGACCATGCGCAGCGCATACACATAATCCTGACCCTACCCTTCTGGTTGTTTTCGTTTTGTTTCAAATCAATTTGATAAGACAAAAGACCAAGAAAATTTGAAAAATACGGCACCATAGGTGGCTTTGGTATCCGAAATATGTAGGTTCAGGTGGCTCTGTAAATACCGTGTTGTGTTGATCAGGGACAGAGCCTGGGCACTGGGGGCTAAAGCCCCTTGCCGAAAAAAAAAAATATTCCGCCCTGCGGATCGACGAATCTGGGAGCCGCAACTGCAGTAAAATCAATTTATCCATAAACAACATCAGAGTATGGAAAAGAGGCAGATGACGCCGTCTTCAATTTTCACGATAGGCGCCCCAACAGTGCATTTTGCCGCCCCTGTTATGGCGGAAAACATACCGCCAACATTCCATTGGCCCCAGGCTGAAGAAAATCCTGGACCCGTCCCTGATGTTGATAAAGTGAGCACACGTATAATATATCTTTTTAGTTCGGACACGAGTAAAAATGTTTGTCGATGGCCCTATATAGGGTGACAGGGCACCTATCGATTTCTGTGCGTTAGCACAGCACACAGTGCACTCAGAAGGCAGTTGGCACTTTGGCAGGTGTACTAACACCTGCCTCGCCAATTGTTTTACTAATGCACAGCATCTATCGACGGATATTTTCTGGGTCCGAACACCCAGCGAGCACCCCCTTAGCGAGCGAGCGCACGTCACGACGTTCTGCGGTCGTGGCAGGATACTCATCAATCAGTCAATACCAAATGGACTGAGAGCACATACGGTGTGTGGCACAAACTTCGGGCACTATACCAAACGCTAGGAACGGCGTTTAGAAGACAGTTGATCGAGTTGTGCCATTTGTTCCAGATACCTATGAACTTCCCAGTCTAGCGTCGCGCTGAACAGGTTTGGTCGCCTGATGGATCGTGTCTGTTTGCCTTTGCCTTTTACCGTATTGGACAGTGTTCGATTCGCTGCGGGTCAGTTTAGAGTGCAGCTGCACCAGAGCAAATTATGCATCACCTGCTGCGTCAGGTGGAGGTTAATGTTCAAAACACTTGCTGTGCATAGCTATCGAATCGATGCGTCACTCTGTTCCTGGTGCGTCATATTGTCTTTGTGGGCGTGCCAAAATTGTATAAGAAATTCCTTCCTTTGGAAACCTGCGCAGCTGTTGGTTAGCCCACGACATCAATAAATCCCACTCCCATCAATGTTCATTAGGTAATCAATTGGCTCGTTGTATGGGCTGTGAATGTGCGCATTAGCAATCACCGTCATTTATGCAGACCAGACATGTAGGTAATTACCCTAAATGAATAGTGGTGATGGAGAGTAATGGAATGGCAAACATAAAAAAGAAATACCCCTAGCCCGCGAGTTGCTGGGGGGTGCGTTAAACGCCCCCACTTTTTTCGCCGGGCCATAGCATTAAAACGGCGCGCCGCAGGCGCGCCAAATTTTGGGTACCTGTAGGGAATTGATTGAAGTTTATTGTGACAAAGTTTCAAAAAAAATCGGTCGGAAAATTTTTGAGATATCGAGGTTTTAGTGACGTCATGATTTCTGAGTTTTCGACCAAAAACGGCATATGTTCAAAAAATCATATAAAATCACAGAATAGACATAGAGACATGCCGTAAACGCCATTAGACTGCCAATACCATGAACAATCAAATGGCTATCTTCGATTATTGATTATCGTTCTCATTTTCCAAAATCTTGAACTGAATCTTGGCAATTTCTCGTGACTACTTCACGACCATGATACATGCATTTCTTAAATTGAACTTTTTGTGCCAAACACGTACACATATGATAAAATGAACGTCACCATGTTCTACGCCCCAAATTACCCCTTAAACATGTGTCACAGGCTGCGAATATCAGTTTTGATTTTCGAGGATATGTGCCTACCGGGTTGACCTGACCTTGACCCTGACCTATGCTTGACTGACCCCTACATGGAGCTGACACTCTTGTAGGCCTTATATGATGGATTGTGCACCGTTTTGACAGAGTTTATGACGAGAGGCGCCCATTGCGAAGTCCTGAAGTCCATGCTACTGAAAGCCCGCTTTCAGGTGTTTGACCTGACCTTGACCCGACCTGTGACCTCAAAATTCAACTTTAAAGTACTCATCTGAAGCGTCTCGTCGCGTTCTTTCGTTTGCCGCCTCGTGCGTTTCGCTGCGCCTATTGGTTCTCGAGTTATCGGCTGGGGGCGTTTAACGCCCCCCCCCCCAGCAAACGGTGGGTGGCGAAATACCCCAGCAACTGCCGGGCTAGTCTACCCAACACAAAAAGATGTATGTAGTGCGAAGTGGGGAGGAAGCCGCCTTGGAGCGCATGAATAAGACTTCAATAATTGAGACCAGCAATGGGTGGATAGGTTGATAACATAAGTGTTTAAAGGGAAACTAACAAAATAAACAAAACGTCAGCCCTACCACAGCTACGCTTGTGGGAGCACATAAAAAATTGCTGATAAAGGTGGAAATAATTCGTGCAATATGATTGTGCGTTTGGGTAGTCGCTTAATTGAATAATCGGATGAAAAATCAAAATTAGGTAAAGCAAATTCTACAAACAGTGCTAATGAAGTGTGCATTAGCTGGGCGTCCGTTATATGATCAGTGCCACAGGCCATTCATGCTTACAGTTTCCCTCCGCCCATACACCGGTCCGCAGTAGCTGCGTTCGAGGGAGTTAACTTACATCGGTTGTTATGTTTATGCCGGTATGGATCGCACCTATCCCAATCGGCCCTCACACCTATACCATGCAGCGACAACCACGCACTGCGCGTCCTATCATCACCAAATTCGGGTCA